AATTAGTATTCGTTCTTCTGGACTGCATTTAGGCTTTGTGTGCTTTGATTATGTTTATCACACTTAGTCTCGCATTAGTGTGTTACCTTAACTAGATTTTTAGTAGTTTGGTTTTTATTTATTCGTACTTTTATTATTATCTTTTGCTTCCGCACTGTGCACATGGTTACGTCACCCTCACGTGACGGCCAGCACGCCTTGATTCCGGTCGGAGTGTGTCAACAGTAGTAGTGCTCCTTTAATGAAAATTTCAAATGACAAGTATACCTTCACATATTGTACAAAATTACAATGTTTGCCTTTACATTATTATCTTTCACAATAATTATATCACATTAAATACCATATCTTTTTTAGTCATTTAACATACTCACAACAATTTATACGAAAATTTACCAAACATTCAAACATTGGTTTATTCATTTATTTATTTTTTGTGTGTTAAGAGCACTTCTATTAAAAAAAAAAAAAAAAAAAGGTCTCTTAACGAAAAAAAATTACCAAACATTCAACAACCTTATTTTATCACTATTTATTCTTACGTCATCAAGCTCATTTCTTTTTGGATTTACAAGGTGAGTTAGAGCTCGAGGTTAATTTTAAGGAGGTAAGGTTTTAATTTTGAGATTTAGAACAATATAGGGTTGATGATTTTGAGTTTTAAGTTGTAGAAATGTTCTTAAGAGGAGTTTAGAGCTTAGAGTGCAGGACTTGGGTTTAGAGTTTGTAACCGATACATGAATATAACATTGTTAAAACGATGTTGATACTCAGTACTAATTTCACCGTTCACGTTTTTTCGTCTGTATTGGGTTATTTTCGACACCGTCGTAACGTACATCTATTTTACAGCTGTGACAAACATGTGAGCTTCATTTACAAGAGTACATCGAACGAAACACCAACCATTTAAAATTTTATTTTTATTTAAAAAAATGCTATGGAGATCATATTTTGTAGACCGCTTGATGCGATGGTTGATAGTTAGATTTTTCCTTAGTGAATTAAAGAAGAAATCCAGTCATCTCTCACCACGTCATGGGGTCTACGAAATATAGTTTGAGAGTAATGTTAGGTAAACTAAATTTGCAAATTAAATGATGTGTTGCCAATAAAAAATATGCATGTTAATCAACATTTAAATAATAATTTAGTCATCAACAACAGCGGGGACGATGGCTGCACGTCCATGGGTGAATTATGTCTTGCCAAATATAGATACTTTTTTCTTCAATTCCAGTTTCGAAACTAAATTTTCAGAACGTTCACCTACCGACCTACGATATCCCTTGTTTATTCAAACTTTCCGTTACAGATTACTAAGCCTAATATCTGCCCAGCATTATCTTAAAATATACATAAAGCCTTCAGTTTTGTTTGCAGAACTTGGAAGAACAGAACTTTTGATCTTAGAATATTTTAACAGGTCTAAATCATAGCAATTAGAGGACAGGGAATGATTGGCTCCCAACATAATGTAAACTTGTTAAATATTGATTCAGCAGTGGTTGAAATTTGGATGGGACTTACTAACTTATTAAATAAATTGTCCTCAAGAGTTGGTCCCCACTGAAGAAGATGTGATTTATTAAAACCTGTTACTAATGAGATTACCGTTTTGTGACTCGATTGGTTGCTTGCTTTGGCAATATGGATATATTGTTGAGTATATAAGGATAAATTGGTGTGAAGATCTAGATAGCTTAAAACTAAATGACTGTAAGAAATTAAGGAGGAATATCTGCACTTGTAATTTTATGATTATTGCAGTCCTCTTTCAGGTTTGAAGGCACCACAGCATGTCGAAATTGCTTGGAACAATGACTGGGGGTGCACAGTTAGCATCCATCCCAAACAAGGATCACTGCCCCATGTAAGAGACCAAGGGTTAAAGATTCAACGACGAGTCCCCTGGAACTACTAGCAAAACGTTGTTACATCCAGCTGTAATGTGGACTGAGTCTGGGTAGGTTTAGCGACTCAAACTCAATGAGTTTGACAGTAAAACCAAAAGAGAAATACGAGGATGAAAAGTAAATTAAGAAATGAAGAAAGTACACATTTTATATGTTTATCGTGGCAATGGAAAGTTAATAACTGTATGGGATATGACACTTTTTGGCAGATTCATTTGTTTGGTGGGATTGGGAGAGATGCAGAAAGAAATAGATTGAATGGTTCTTCAGGGGATTAACCTGCCTTAGCATTCACAGGTCAAGAATCAATTTGGAAGAAAGTTTTGATGGAAAGTTGTTAAAATTGCTATTACATTTATGAAGGTGTTCATCAAATTCTAGGATTCTACATTATATGTCTTGCATGTTTGCTCCTTTTTTTTTTTTTTTTTTGGTCAAAAGGAGAATTTATTAGACAACCACCACAAATTTACAAGCAAAACAAGATCTAAGAAACACCTACTAACAAACAAAACAAGGGGCCGAGACTAAATACAAACAGAAAAGGAGCCCACGAAAACAGTAAGGCCCAAAGACGTACACAACAACCAAGAAACCAAGAAGCTTCCACTGCCTTCTACACCATCGGCTTTCTAGTCCATCCAAGCAAATCCTAGTCCATCCAAGCGAATCCCAGTCCACCGCCGCCGAGTAATACCTCACCAGACGCCACCTCCAACCCTGAAAAGCTACCTGAGCACAACCATAAACAGGGGATAGTCGGCAACAGAGTAAGAGAAGCCAACTACCAGTTTCAAACAAGGCAGAAAATCATGAATATCTAAATCTCTTTCACCCACGCAAGGAATCCTTGAAGCTAAAATACATAAACAAAATATATCAGAACAATAAACAAAATAAATTTAAAAAAATTCAACAAAAACAAATTTATAACAAAATATGTGGTAGTCACATACCCAAATACAGAGCCCCGCAAGAGACAATTCTGAAAGAGGAAACTAACATTACAAGCAGCATCACATCATCAGCTTCTCCAAATTTAACATTTTTGTTAATGTTTAACAGCTCTACGTTACATTCATTAGTTTTGCCTATACGTTCAAAATTCCCTTTGAATGAATACTTCAATGACTTGGATGCATATTTAGCTCCACTTCTCATACAGTAGACGCCATAGTTTAATTCTTTAGACCAGCCGTTAATATCTATCACTGAACATCTGCAGCCGTCATCCTTACAATTTTTAATGTGTACAATGTCACAAAATCTACTTATAACATAAGCTTTTGGAACCTACAAATAACCAACACACAAAACAAAAATTAATAAAAAAATCAATAGAAACAAAAAATCAGAGACAAAAATAACACTAGCCAATAAAAAATAAAAAATATGATACCTCTCGTTCAACGGAGCATATGTAACACTGCAAGTTGATTGTCTGCTTCAAGTTTTAAGTATCCCATAAAGGCAACACCACCCCGGTTATAATGGCACTAGGAGTTGTAGATGGGAGGATTTTCATGTATTTTCCAAAGCTTTTTTTTAGGATACGAAACTAAAAAAAAAAAAGAAAGAAACAAATAAGTGAAATAAACGTAAATTGTTGCAAAATAAACAAATAATAAAAAAAAAGAATAATAGAAAATTACTCTTTGTGGAGTCCAGATTAGTAATCGTTGCATCAAAAGACATTAAAACACCTTTAGGCAAAACAATTGTACACAAGATTGTACCAGTGGTAGCAGAATCAACAGTCGTTTCAGACAATTTACTAGAAGCTGAAAAAGTAACTGAATTAAAAAATCATGAGAAGTAAAAAAATTCGCCAAATTCATTTTCTTCCATTTAAAAAAGGTCTAGGAATTCATTATCACAATTTTTCACAAAAACAGACTCCTCAATAACAAAGTGAATTGGATAATTCAATCTGTTTTGAAAGAATTTGAAAGAAAGGAATTTACATACCTTTAACAAGTTGATTCAGTCAAATAATAATATTTTTATAATAATAATTAATAATTCTACGAGCCATCACAAATTTTCATCATCGAAAAAGTCTAAGCAAGCAATGGAAACAACGATAGTGAAACTATGAATCAAAATTAGAATGAACATAAATAAGTAAAACAAAAATGATAACAAATATAGATTCAAGAAGTATTATAACAACGTAATAAAAAGGGGCGGCAGCCTTAGAGCAAGGGGTGGAGTTCTGGAGAACTGCACTGGGAAAGGGATGAAGGTGGTTAGGGTTATTTTTTTTTTCTTCAAGTTTTTATTATTTTTTTTAAATTTCATTTTCCATGTTAAAATAAGTTTTCATTCCAGCTGTATAACAATTATACATGTGTCAACTTTTGAGTGGAATGATCATGTGTTGATGTGGTAGTACGGTACTACCTAATAACATGTTGTCCAATATCCTAGTGGATAGGGTATTGAGTTTCTGTTCATGCATCTCATCCTAGGTTCAAAACTCTTCATTCTCCTAAATATTGTAATAGTTTCGAACTCTTCCCATTTCCTTAATAATAGTAATTTTTTAATTTTTTTATTTTAATAATAAGAGATCAAACAACATAGCAAAGCAAAGCATCAATCCAACCAGGTACCGCATTATTTAAGCAGAAAATAAATAACTTTCATTTTGCATTTTATTTTTTTCAATAAATTGTAAAATACTTGGATGAACACTCATGTTTCATATGTTCTAATATTTTATAATCTATATGTTATTCTATTTTGCAATTTATGTATCCTATACAATGATGTATTTTGTTATGTATAAATAGATATTTATATACATATATATACACACAAAAATATGTTATATAACAAATTAATTAAAATTAAAAAAGAAAGGCCAAGGCTGCCACTCATGCACTAGTTAGACGTCTAGACGTTAGGCCCCTGCCAGCCGCCCAAACCTTGGTAACGCGCATCCAAGACTGGGCTTTCTCTAGCGAACAATGAAACAAAAAACAGTTGTATCAATTGGTCAAACGGGATCTAACAGTTTTTGTTTCATTAATGTGCAAGTTAGCTGTGTATTGAATAACTTTTGCATCCAAGGCCAGTACAAGCAAAGGGCTGTCCACTTAGAAACAAGAACAACCAAGTATTAATATTTCAAGACCAGTACAAGCAAACCAAACCCAAGTACAGTATCCATCCGCCAGCCATCAGTCACTACGGACGGGGCAGGTGAGCTTACTCAAAGACATATATACAGACTACAGAGTGCTGAAACTCAAAGAAAATAAAGAAGAAAGCAACAGCCCAAGACTAGACAATCCAACAGCATCCTCGCCATCAGCAAGATTACGGGCTGCGAGGAACTAGGTTGAGAAGGGGGTGGCCTTCTGCAATGAATTTGCTTAAATCCGGGCAGTCCTCATCCTCGTGGTCACGAAATTTGCCACAAAGAAGACAGAACATCATATCAGCATACCTCAGCCCACGGCCATCCAATATTATGTAGCCCTTGCCAACCTCAGTTACATTGTCTGGTATACGTTTCAGGTAGGGGCATAAATCACTCCAGTGGCCAAACACATTGCAAACTTCACAAGGGTGTTTGAATTGGAATCTGAAAGGTTTCTCAGCTGTGAATGCCCTGCTCATTTTCTTCTCTTCTGGTTTTGATTTTGGAGTAGTAGTATTCCCCTCGTCAAGTTGGAGTTTAGCCAGATTCTCTTCAACAGCCTTTTCATTTTTGAGTTGAGAGGGAGGGCCATCTGGGTATTTAAGGAAATGTGGAGATACATTAATTAATAATACAAATTGCACAGTGCATATATAAGCTAAGTAAGCAAGCCATCTGAATTCGAGTCGGGCCCTTAATTACTTTGTATTCTCGATCTCATTGAGTCATCAAATAATTATTACTACTGATTCATGATCAATTAAGTTCTACTCTGTTTGGGTTAATTTGTTAGGAGGATATCTCATTGAATCATCAAATACCTACCACTAGTGCTTCATGCTCAATTACGTCCTACTCTGTCTCTAGGTTAATTTGTTAGGAAGATAACAAAGCCTCCCATATGCATGTCATTGCCACCTGTGTGTGTGTGTGTAAATTGCTACCGGCCTTCTTTCTACCATTGTGGTTAAGTGTGCAAGCACAAGTCCTCAATGTTGTGGGTTCGTGTGTGTTTGCGCGTGTGTAAATAACTAACGGCCTTCTTCCTACCATTGTGGTTAAGTGTGGAAGCACAAGTCCTCAATGTTGTGGGTTCGTGCATGTGTGTGTGTGTGTAAATAGCTCCCGGCCTTCTTCCTACCATTGTGATTTAAGGGTGCAAGCACAAATCCTCAACGTCGTGGGTTTGAAGGCTGGTATCCTCAAGGGAATTATATGTATAAATAGCTAACTGAGAATAATAGATAGTCCCCTATGCATGAAATTTGTTGAGAATTAATTCTACACAAGTAGAGTAACTGCGGGAGGGCCAAATCAAACAGATTTGGGACGATACTTGATAGATCCTACAGAAAGTTATGCTCAGTTCGCATTATGTAATGAGGCATGGAAAGGAAACAAAATACACATTTTCAGCATAGCCAGGGAATTTTTATGAAGACGAAAAATTAGGCATCATCAAGTACCCTAATTAAGTTCAAGCACGGTAACCCTAAAATCATATATACATCGAGTTAAATAAGCTGCAAATTCGAAATTAGAGATAATCTCTTCCTCCTCACAAACCCTAAAACCATAACAAATTTGCAAATCTTCTTCCTCCTCACAAACCCTAAAACCAACAAACATGCAAAAAAGCACACCAAGAGAAGAGGGAGGAGTCCGGATCTCACCTCCGAGCTTCGTCCGTTGGCCTGGAATCTTCTCCTGCCCGGATCCGGATCCTGGTCCGGCTAGGGACTTGGACTTGGACTTGGCCTTAGCCTTGGCCTTGGCCTTGGATATCGCCCTGGATCGGGGGTTCATGGTTTTGTTTTCAAGAGACGAGAGAATTTGGGGCTTCTGCATGGGAGGCTCTAGAAAGGTGGTTTATATACTAAATCAAAGTAAGGTGATTACGTCATCAAGCCTATTTCTTTTAGGATTTAGATGGTGCGAGCTAGAGCTCGGGGTTAAGTTTTTTTTAATTTTTTTTATTTTTTTTATTTTTTTTATTTTCTTAAGGGAGGACATTCTAAATCTCAAAACTCGAAATTGGTTCATCGTTTTGAGTTTTGAAATTTAGAATGTCCGTCAACAATGGGGTTGATCATTTTGAGTTATGAGTTTTAGAGTGTTCTTTGGAATGGCTTAGAGCTTTGAGTGTAGGGCTTGGGTTTAGAGTTTTTAACCAATACATGAATATAACTTTGTTAATATGACATTGATACTCAATACGAATAGGGATAAGTTCAAGAGACAAATATTTTTACACTTTTTTTAAACTTTTTGATCACATGACATCCAGTGGTTCTTATTTATTTATTTATTAAATGACATGAATGTTTATGTGGATTTTAACTAATATTAAAGATCAAATAAAACTGGAAAAAAAATGTAAAATTTGGAAAATTAAAACTAAAATTCAAAAAGAAAGAAACCCTAGTTGTTCGCTGTTCTCCCCCTTTGCTGATATGCTTTTGCAACTTCATGTCTTGTATGGCAATTACATGAAGTTGAATATATTACCCTTGTTCATGTTATTTCATTTGACCTAATTCCAAACCTTGTTGTGCGCTTTCTTTTGATAATTTGAGAAAATTGAATTCGGTTCTTCAAAATTACTGCATCTGGGAACTGCTAACAGGGTTTCTCAAAAAATCACAGAATATGGAATCTCTCGTCTTAAAACACAAAGATGTAAGATGTATTTTCTCTTATGTTATGTGATACCAATATCACCTCTATAATATTGTGTATTTCCATTCAATTTGTTCTTTTAAAATTACCGACAGAACAAAGAAAATATTTGTTGAGAGCCCGAATACATAAAGGATGAAGTTTGAATCCAAGTCTGAAAAACCAAAAAAAAAAAAAAAAAAAAAAAAACTTTAGTTAATGATTTTTTTTATTAGGGTTCAAAGCTTGAATCCAAGTCTTGATCAAAATGGGAATGGGAGAACCAATTTCAGTTTAAGTTTCTTCCTTTTTTTAATTTTAATTTTCCAGATTTTATGTTTTTTTTTTTCAGTTTTATTTGATCTTTAATATTAGTTAAAATCCACATAAGCATCCATATCATTAATGAATAAATAAGAATCATTAGATGTCATGTAATCAAAAGGCTTAAAAAGAGTGTAAAAGTATTTGCAAAAATATTTGTCCCTTGATCCTATCCCATACGAATATCATCATTCATGTTGTTTCTTATACTTTATTGGGTTATTTTCGACATGGTCATACCGTACATTCATTTTATAGAAAATTAGATTTTAATCCCTAAATAAGATGAGATTTAGAAAAATGTCTTATTCAACATTAAAATTTGATTTTAGTCCCTAGAATCTATTTAATGCCACCATATGTATTCAATGTTTTTTTTTTAATTTATAATTTTATGAATTTAAATTTTATGAGAATATTATAAATTTTAATTCTCATTATGGTAAGCATCTTATATAAGAAAATATTTTCGTAGAGATTTTTCGGTACACTTATGTTTTTGCATATTTTCTTATCTGCCACTAATTCATTACAATATATTTTAGGTTTGAACATTTCGGTACACTGGGTTAGTATAATATGTTTAGGTACAGACATTTCAGTACACTAGTTTAGTATAATATATTTAGGTACCAACATTTCGGTACACTAGTTTAGTATAATATATTTAGGTACCAACATTTCGGTACACTAGTTTAGTATAATATATTTAGGTACCAACATTTCGGTACACTAGTTTAATATCATATAGTTAGGTACAGAAATTTCAGTACACTTATGTTTTTACATATTTTCTTATGTGTCACTATTTCACTACAATATATTTAGCTACAGACATTTTGGTACACTAATTTAGTAAAATATATTATGATATGGACGTTTAGGTACACTAATTAGAGAAAGTTCAACAAAATTAATGAATTAAAATGTGTATAATAATAAATTTAAAATTTAATGTAATAACATTAAATAAATTATCTATTAAATATAAAAACAAAAATATAATATGAATTTGAATTAAGTACACATTAAGGGACTAAAATCAATATTCAATATAACACCAGATTTTTATTAAATTTTAATCTTCTTGAAGGATTAAAGTTCAAAAACCCCTTTCTTTTACTGTGACAGACATGTAAGCTTCATTTACAAGAGTACATTGAACAAAACACCAAACATTTATTTATTTTTTATTTTTGGAAAAATGATATAGAGATCACATTTTGTAGATCACATGATGCGGCACCTAACGATTAGATTCTTTCTTAGGAAAACTAATGAAAATAGCTTGAAAATTTTGAGTTTAACGATAAGGACAAAATATAGGGTAAAGTGAATAGTACCAAGATTGATTTTTTAGTGTAAAAATGTGATTTTTCGTTAAAGTGAACAGCACCGGGAGCTTTTCGTTAGAGTTCCCTTCTTTCTTTAATGATTTGGAGAAGAAATCCAATCATGTCATGCCACATCATGTAGTTTACAAAATACAATTTGAGGGTAATGCTAGGTAGACTAAATTTGCAAACTAATTGACATGTCACTAATAAGAAATAAACACTTTAATCAATACTTATGTAATAACAAGGTTCTAAAAATCGCTAGGTGCTAGTTGGACGGCGGGCAGGGGCCTAGCTCCTAGGCGGCTATGCGGATTTATGTAAATTTATTATATATCTTGTAAATAAATGCCTGTTTACACCTAAAAGAAAAACTATACTTGTATGTATAATAAAATAATGATAAAATGCAAATTAGGTACACCATTTCCATATATATTGGATGAACTTGTAGTAAATCCATTATTTGCAAATTAGGCACACCACTTTCATAAGTATACCATCATAATAAAACCAAAAAAAAAAAAAAAAGCACACAATTAATAAATAAAAAAAAAACCGCCTAGCCCGCCTGGAGTTGTCTAGGTCAATTTTTAGAACAATGAGTAATAATCGTCATCAACAACGACGGCGACGATGGCAGTTGCGCGTCGTCCACGGACGACCAACAGGCGCATGCAGCGTGTGATGTCACTATGAAATATGTCTTGCCAAATATAGTTAATTTTTTCTTCTGAGTTTCGAAAATAAAATTTTCAGAACATTCATCTACGATATCACTTGTTTGTTCAAAATTTCCATTAAGATACTCAGCCTAATATCTACCCATCATTTTCTTGAAAAGTTCCACTTGCATGTAAAGTTTCAGCCTATAAAAAAATAAATAAAGCCTTGAGTTTTGTTGCATAATTGTGAGAAGGGAACTTTTGATCTTAGAACATTTTAACATTTTAAATCATAGCAATTAGAGGATTAAGGGCACCACAGCAGTCGAAATTGCTTCTGGCCTCCACTGGTATTTTAATTAATTTGATTTAAGGGCACCACAGCAGTTGAAATTCCCTTGGTCTCTTACATGGTGCGGTGCTCGTGTTTCTTGGGACAAGACTGGTGGTGCTCAGCTAGCATCCATCCCAAATTCGGGATCACTGCCCCATGTAAGAGACCAAGGGTGGTGCTCAGCTAGCAGTCGAAATTCATTCACAGTATTGTTGAATTTGATTTAATTAATTGCACTTGGAGTAACCAGAACCATTGGGTTCAGATTGGGGCACACATTGTTTCGAAGCCTCTTTGAGATAGATGAACACCATTTCTCCGAGCAGCCATACAAGCAATATAATCTGGAGTGGTATTAAGAAGTAACAACCACCGTTGCCACCACCAGCTGCGGTGGCACCCAACAAAACTGTCATTGTTGTGTGCAGTTTTCGTTAAACAACCAGACACTGTTTTCTTCTCTCCTGTTTCGGTTGTTTGTTTAGAAAATCCCAAAATCCCACTGCCTGTTGACCAAAGACCCTCTCCTCAACCAAAAGCACCCAACCTCTCAATTAAGCAGCAAACAAAGGGAAGCACTGGCAGCCAAAAATATAAAATAAAATAAAATAAACAAGCTGCCCAAAATCTACATCCAAGCTCCAGATTCTTCCCTCGCACCCTCCCCACCATTCCACTTACCAAATAATAATTCATAACATCATCTCAAAATACATTCAATATCCCCTCAACAAATGCAACCAACATTCACAGTAACGTTCTGCAAACACAACCAAAACCACATTCAAGAATAATCAGCATACAAGCATAAAAGCAGCAAAAACAAGATAATAATAAAACAAACATCAACCAAACAGATTAAACAAGAGAACATACAATACAGCCCAAATTATGCATACCCAATAAGATTGATCAAACCCGCGACCCGGATTCGAATCTGATAACCCAGACTCGACTCGACCCGAGGTTTGATCCATATCCAACCGGATCTGAATATTCTTTGGAATATTCTCTCTGGAATATTTCCCTAGCATTTACTTTTTCAGATTTTGGCTCTGTACCCCTCATAAAAAATTTTGACGCCCAATTCCATTTAGCAAAATTCTATTGTTTTAAAGTAGTTTGGTAGTTGACCACCACTTGAAATTGTGATTGGTGGAGATCCGACCGTCGGATCATAAAGAAATTTTAGTATGTTGTTCTAGAAGCTTAATAAGTATCTTAGGAAGTTACCGATTCAATGTCTGGATCTTCTAGATCGAGTTATGTAGTGTTGTTGACCCTACTATTGACCGTGACTGACGATTGATGACACGTCGGACACCAAGATGGCCAATTGCTAGCCAACACCCGAGGATGACACAAGCCATTTCATGAATCCATATATCGAGAACATGTAAAACATGCATAATAATTTCACGCGTAACTATGCAATATATTATTCAAGTACAAACCTTAACAAAATATAATAATCCACTGCCAACAATTAAAAAGTGATAATGTATAACATGTTCAGAGCATACTACTAATTCGAAATACAAGCGGAAGGGATATTAGAAAGTGTGATTACAAGAGATGTCCTACGCAGAGAGGAGGACATAAATTCACTGATATGGGAATGCCTCGTGGCTCAAGTCATATGCCTCGTTCCTAGGTCTTGAAGGGGGCGCAAAACAAAACATGAGTGGACCAAGTTTATATATAGTAATACTAAAACAATTACTCTTCAAATGTACTAACCCCCAATTTTAGAAAAACTCAAATAGCTAATAAGTAATAGGTTTTCCGAAAACCCTAGCATGCCATAAAACCTTCATAAAACATATATCGTATCTAGTGTGCTTAGTAGTGATAACACAATTGCGTGAAGGCATATATAGATCTTCCACTTGAAGGCCCTACTTCGCCTGCTCAAAGGCATATATAAATCTTTCGCCGAAGGCCCTACATCGCCGGCCCGAAGGCATATATAAATGAATATCCACCAAGTAAGCACATAAAAATCATCAACATAATCTTTCCAAAATATATCTCATCGGAGCTCAATAGCTCAAACATCATATCATAAATCATATGCATAAATATTTCAGTAACGTAAATTCAATAGAGCATGATATTTCATAAAGCGTAAATCCGATAACTTATAAACCTTTCATAAGATCATGCTTTTCATGTATGCATTTCTAAAAATAAAACATGCATTTTGGAAGGGACACTCACAGATACTCCGTCGTCGAAGAGCCATTTGAACTAGGTGGAAGGGTTTTACACTTTCCAAGGTGGTGATGGTCTGGACTCCACCCACTACGTGGGCTTTTTATATTTTTTTCAAGAGGTATTCATCAATTTCCCCCTGAACTTGTGACCGTTGGCCAATTTCCCCCCTCAACTCTTATAATTAGTCAATTTCCTCCCTCAACTCTCAAAATTAGTCAATTTGCACCCTACTGTTAATTTTTTTTTTTTTTTAAATTTTCCATCTATTCTTTTCTTAATTTTCAATCTTTCTAATAACTTCCAACAAAGTACTAAAATTAACATAAACTCACCTGCATAATATAGGGTAAAATGTACAAAACATAATACAGTTAGTAAGTATATGGGTTGATTATAAGAAAAAGTTATGAATCGGGTTTAAAGCATGTAGAAGAAGAAATAATAACAAAAAGAAATAATAATCCTAAACTCATGGATCAGACCTATTTCAATAAAATGGGTTATTCTTAATAAGGAGTCGAAAATTATGAATAGACTAGCCATTTTTTCACTAAAGCTCGATTCTCCACAATTTACTTGAACCTAGCTTTCACTTTTATAAAGAAAATTGTATTCACATACAAAAATTTACACATCAATCCTTTTCGTTATCAAATTTGTATGGTCAAAAATCAAATAAAATTACTCCATACTGATTTATTATGACTAATAATACTATCTATGATAAATTGTAAAATTCTAAATTTTAATCTATTTGTAATAGGATAAAGATATAGGAACATGATTAACATACATCTTATTTAGTTTCCTACACACATGTTTAAAATTATAAGAGTTGAGGGGAGAAATTGGCTAAATTAAAGTTAAGGGGGGAAATTGACTAATTATGAGAGTTGAGGGGGGAAATTGGCCAATGGTCACAAGTTCAGGGGGGAATTGATGAATACCTCTTTTTTTAATTATGAAACCACGGGAAGAGTTATTGAATGGTTTTAAATTATGAACCAACTAACTAGGTGGGCTTTTTATCATTTTTAAAGTTTGGTGTGTGTGTGTGTGTGTCTATATATATATAAGTGAACTATTATTAGCACTTCAAAAATTTCATTCTACACTCCTTATAAGTGTATTTTTCTTTCTAATTATAGAAAGTTTGGAGTGTAAAATGAGATTTTTGGAGTGCCAATAACAATTTCCGTATATAAATGTTATATGAATTATTTGGATAATGTTTTTTTCCTTCATATTATGTACATATAAATGTTATATGAATTATTTGGATTATGTTTTTCTTCTTGGGCCATCATAAGTCATATTATGTACATAAAACAAATGGGAAGTGTTATTGGCACTCCAAAAATCTCATTCTACACTCCTCACAAGTGTATTTTTCTTTCCTAATATAGAAAGTTTGGAGTGTAGAATGATATTTTTGGAGTGCTAATAACAATTCCCAAACAAATAAATTTATTATATTCATATAATATATAATAAGTTTATCTAAATCTGCCTAGTCTGCTTAGGCACTAGGCCCCATCTCACCGCCATACCAGCGTCTAGCATCTTGTAGAACCGTGGTTATTTGTAAATATTGTTAATATTATTTCAGTATTTGGCACCCCCTTACAGTCGATTGTCATGGACTCATGCGTTGATCATGGATGTATGTCGGGATCAAGGTTTGACACTTTTTCTATGTGCCACCTCATTCTCTTTCCTACCCTATAATTCTTCAGGTTAAATAACAGGTTATTCTAAAACATATACTTGATATTCTATCAACCCCCGTTTGCATGAAAACGTTCCTTATGGTGCATAAACATCCAGTCTATTATCAGCCAAGCAAGTTCCTTTCTTTCAGCCTTGACCTAGTAACAAATTATGCACTTGCTCACGTACTCGGCAATCTCTTTTCATCCCAGACCATTAATAGAAAGGTCAAATGGTAAAGTACATTTTTGTGCAGCCTGGATGCATATAGCATAAGCTGAGATGCGTGCCTCGTCAATGATCTCCTTTTTCCAACTCCTCATTGTTCGACACATACATCCGGTCACCCTGCATCACAAGGTCACCTGCCCTCCGTAATCTGAATTCTCCGTAAGCTCAACTTGGTTTACAATGACACACCCCCACACACAAGGAATAATGTTTTCTACCACGTGATTTTCTTGGAGATTGTTTTCTACCATTTATCATGATATCGTTGTTGGTAGACGCTATGGGAACATTTTCATCGTACATTTGTCTGGGAATCATGAACATATGTTTGAGGCAAAGTTTTAAATGATTGATGTGTTTGAACTTGTGATTGATGGTAGACAATGCTTTCTTCTTATATCAATTTAAACTTAATTGAGGTTGATGATAAAGCGAAAAGAATGTGTAACTTTTCCATGAAACTAGAATGCATTACTTTTGCTAGACATGGTCGGTGGATGCAAAGCAGGCTGATTCCTATAATTGGTGATTATTTCTTTCCATTGAACCACAAATGACGTATCTAACATTTCAAAACAAAACCAGATGCAACCATTCATCACACTGGATAAAATACAAGAGTTTTGCTCCACAGAACCATCTCTAATTTGCGGCACATTTGTTGTAACATTGCACTGTTCGTTTAGACATCAGCATGATGCAACACCTTAACTTGAGTATCGGGTTTCGCTGCACTCGATTGCCCTGCAAAAACGCAGGTGACAATGTGGTTTGATAACACAAAAACCAACCAGAGCATGCTTCATGATTACGGTAATCCTAACTTCAACCTCGCCGAATGTAACTTGAAGCTTCAACCTTTTTTTTTCTTCTGTCGAAAGCTTGAGGGACAATAAGGACTTCTTCAAGCAGGTATCGAGCTTTTCCGGGTGAAGAAAAGGGGGAGATGCTCTTGCTATTGCTAGAGCATGTCGTATGAAAAAAGTATTTCGTTCAAGAAAAATAGGTTTTTATCGTTAGGAAAGAGAAGCAATTGTGCTGTAAAGTAGCAAAATCTGTATCAGTTCTATTCCTTACTCTAAGAGCCCCTTGCAAGTTGCGTGCTAAGAACTTGGATCATTGTTGTATCTCGAGCAATGATGTAACAGAAGTAACGATAATTGCAGTGGTAATATTTATTTTGAATACAAGTGATATTGGAGGAATTCGGGAAGCATGCACCGTTGCTACCATCACCTGCGTTGATGTGTGCTGCGTTCGCGCAACTCAAGTCAACAAATCCAGATATAATCCAACAGCAGCAGATCGTTATGGTTTTGGTTTTGGAGTAGTAAATCAAAACCAAAGGCTTCTTCCAATGAAGATGAAGGACGGCCGAGGGACTGCCCGCTCGAACCGAGGAAATTACTTGTGAACGAGTCCTGTGCAAACTGTGACTAGCTCATGTTCGTCTAATCCTTCCATCCTCTGAGTTTGAATAAATGCCCTGTTTCATTATGCTGAAGGTGCTGTTTTCTAATGTGTTGGATGCTAGCCTACTATGTATAGTTGACTATAACACTAAACAAACAATACAAAAGTTTCTTTATAAATAGATTTTCTCACACCCCTTCACACAGACAGACACGGACACGGACACAGACACAACACCACCACATCACCAACCACCACCGCCCGCCCGCCCCCCCCCCCCCCCCCCCAACCACCACCACCAAAAAACATGTTTATTTTACCCTTCAATTCTCAATTTATTCAAACCAAAGGCGAAAATAAAAAAGTGCAATGGGGAATGTGAAACCACTTCCCTGAAAAAGTGAAACAAAACATAGCTTAGGGGTTTAGGGCGTGTGAGAACCACTTCCCTGAAAGAGCGAAACAAAACATCGCTTAACAAAGAGAAAAAAAAAGAGCTGTGAAGAACACATGATCTGAAGCAAAATCTGATTATATGTCAATTGCAAATAGAACTTAAAGATTACAACCACTAAATCGAGTTCAAACACAAATGGAACATTTGTAGGATATACTTTTTGGCTTCGTCTCTAGAAAACAAGCTCATGAGGCTTCATGCCTTGCTTGAGAGAAAACCTTGCAGCTAAATACTCCTTCATATAGGCAATTCTGTTGATGCATCTAATCAAGGGTGTATCAACAGCCTTCTGGTCATCTTTTTTCTCCTGGGGAAGTACATTCTCGTCCTACAATTTGAAGAAAGAAATCAAAGTTAGAAGACAACGACAAAAAGACTGTCAAATGAATGACCATCCACAGTATACACTTAAAATACACAAAAGATAAAAGACCCAACCTCCTCCGCTTCAAAGAATTCGCCTTCTCCCCTTCTCTTTTTCTTCTGGACTTCCTTTGCAAAATACTTGTCATCAAACTTAACCGCATTAACCTTAGAGATGTCAATCTTAGTCTGAGCTCCAATCACGTAAGACTGGTTCACACGTCTTAGAGGAACACCGTTAATCTTGAATGGTCCTGGAAAAGCAAGAAACAACAGCAGTCAGAAACACTCCAATACAGGGACACAAGGCACGGAGAATATATAGGGAAAACAACACTCTTACAACTACAAATCCAATCACCAACATGTACAGACAAGTGGCTCTCTTGAATTTAAACACACTAACAAAATTAATCACTGTAATCTCACGGTGTAAATAGTGACCATTTTCAATGATAAATGGCCACCGCTTCATCAAATTACAACTAAACGTTCATCAGCCTGTTTTCCTTTGTAATATATTTGTATCTAATACTAATATAGATTAAACCAAGTCATCAGCTCATAAACTGAAATCAACCAGCAGAACAACTGACAAAAAGAATAAGACTGATAAATCAACCAGACCAATTCGACAATGAAGAACTGAAACAGAGGAAACAACGTTTAAGGAGAACAAGAACTCACCAGTGACCAACAGCAAGCCAGATGAAAGCTGCTTCAGAAACACAACCCTCTTTCCCATGAACCTCCCGGCAAGAATGATCAACACAGTACCTGGAGTAATGCTAGCCCTACATGATATAAAGGAAAGAAAATACCTAGACATTATTAGGTATCCAAAGAAGAACACACAGAAAGGTTACCACAACTCAAAAACTTATGAGACTATAGAAACCAATCCAATTGAAAGTAAACAATGAAGGTTAAAAAAAAAAAAAAAGAATTTCCATCTCGCAGTTTGTGCATGTTAGGTCGCAAAAAAAGTAATCCATTTTTTACTCTCCGTGTTGTAACTTCCACACTATATATCTCCACTTTCAACGTTCCCAATTTTTTATCCTCGTGATTGAAATGGATATTGAAAATCATAAACAGAACCCCAATACGACAATGTTAAACAGAATACATGCACATTGCTACATCACATCTCAACATTTTCCACATTTCAGGTGCCAATTTTAATGCAGAGCAATAGTACCCACCCATATGCCCCATCTGTGCTAGCAAAATCCCACCTATTTCTCACTTTCGACCTATTTTTCGGTATTTTCTCGAATAAAAATAAACCCCACTACCTAAAACTACATACATGATGGAAAAAGGAAGTGTTATTAGCATTCCAAAAATCTCATTCTATACAAGTGTTATTAGCACTTCAAAAATCTCATTCTATACTCCTTAGAAGTATATGTTTCTTTCCAAATATAGGAAGTTGGAGTGTAGAATGAGATTTTTAGAGTGCCAATAACAATTCCCTAAAACAAAGTACTCATTAAAAAAATATACAAATTAGAACTCGTCTGAAAAGTGCTTTTAAATGACAGCAAATTTTAAACAACAAACGCTTTTAGAGGAAATATTTTTAGGTTTAAAAGCAATTGTAGTGCTTTTCTAAGATACCCTAGTTTTACTCTCAATTAGTTCCAAAAACACCTTCACAGTTATCTACAAAACATTTCCCAAACCAGCCATTAGATAGATAAAAGGTCACATAATTCAGACAATAATCACACAGGAGCACACATTTTTCTCAGAATCCAAACACATTAAGACACCAATTCAGCACATCTTCTCGTCAATCACCAGCCAGAAAGAAATACAGACATACACATAATCTATAGATATAAAGATGATTGAGAAACAGGGAAAGAGAGAGACCTGAGCTTTGTGGGCTTGGCATTGCGCTTGTTGACGAGAGGCTTCTTAACATCATCGGCGGGATAAAACTTGGGGCGCTTGACAGCCGGGGCCTCGGCCTCGGCCTTCTTGTCGTGGCGGGGGAAAACGCCACCGTTCTTGGCCTTGATAGCCCAAAGCCCTCGCTTGTGGTACGTCTTGGACCTCGATTGTTTCCGAATTTTTCTGATCAGATTTGGGTTTCTGACCACCTTTGAAATCCTCCGCTCCGACGCCATCGCTAACACTCGGAGGTGAAGGTGAAGATTCTCTCTCTTCTAATCAGTCGCTCGCCAACTATAGTTGGTTAGAGTTAGACCTGTTAAAAAGGGATCGTGTTTGTGGTGTTTGTATCCTTTTTTAACTATAGTCGTTATTTTAATGAGTTATGTCTTATCAAATTTATTATTTTAACTAGTTTTTAACAGTTGATTGGATAATAGCCCAATTCGTTAACGAGATGCGTGGTTTTGTGTCAAGTTAAAGAATCATGCAATAACTTGTCATGCTTAGTATTTAGGTCTGGCAACAAGATATTTTATTAGGTTCTTAATGGATGATCCGTAACAATTCAACTCGTTAATAGATTCTTACGGCTGGTTTGGTATTGTTGTGTTTTGAAAAAAAACTGCTTCTGCAATGATGTGAGAATAAGCTCATTTCTGCTGCTTTACGTTTTCAGCTTTTTTCCACCCAAAACTGTGAAAATATGTTGTTTTTAAGTGTTTACCAAACATTTTTTGAGCTCAGTTTTTTTTTATACCCACTTTTTATAAAAGCATTTCAGTACCAAACAAATACTTAATGATTGACTTAATAATGACCCAACTCGTTAACATGTTAACCCAAAACCTATTATTTTAATGTCGATTCATATTTGGATAACAGGTTGTGACAAAAATGTCAAGCCTAGTTAAAGTCGGTGTTTTAGGTGTGTCCTAAAAACTGCTTTATTTGATTTCAATCAACAAACTTACTAAGGGTTGGTTAGGTATTGACGTGCTTCGAAAAAAAGTTACTTCTACTGTGCTGTGAGAATAAACAGCCGTGAAATAAAGCAGCAGAGTGTTTGGTAAATTTTTTTATAAAAGTGCTTTTGAAAAAAAAAAAAAAAAAAAAAAAAGAGCAGCATTATAATGTTTGGTAAACTTTTATATAAAACAAATGTGAAAAAAAGCTGGTTTTTCAAAGCTGGGTTTTGCAGCTTCTTGTTTTTGGCTTTTTTTCACCCAAAACTGTGAAAAAAAATTGAAACTGAATGTTTACCAAACACAAAAACAGCTCCCAGCTTTTTTTTATACCAGTTTTTTTTTTAGAATCACCTCAGTACCAAACCAAGCAAGATATGTTTTTAGCTCATTTTTTGCTGGTTTGGGCTTATTATATTAACACCTCACAAATTGTTGAATAAACCTCACATACTTAATACACCCCACATTTGTTTTTTCACTTAAAAATTATCTTAATACACCCCACATACTTTCCTATAATACCCCACACCCCACATTCTTAATATACACCTTATATTTTGTACATACATCCCATATTTTCTATACACTCCACATTTCTCAAATCTTATAACACTCATTTTTAATTTTCAGAGATTGAATCTAACCATTTGAACGTTTAGTTTGTTGAAAGATTTCAAATTAACTGATCAAATTGGTTCCATTACCTTAGTTCGACAAGTACTCCACCATCGCTCGTGAATCTCGGCAACGTTACCCCATCCACATAGAAGAAGATGATCTCAAGGGTTGCCATACTTGCTAACAAGATGATGGTCACTTGTAGTAGAATAAGGAGCCCTGGATGATATTCTTGTGGTAGGGTTTTTGAGATATGAAAAATTAGGAGCAATAATTTTTTAGAGTTTTTGTTTGCTGCAAATTTCCCCATAACGGAAGAGAGGATTTTCCCAATTTTTCATAGCAACTTTCATCATCTTTCACTTCACGTACATCACTATTAAATAGAACTAGACCTAGAGGCTTGAGGTTGGAAAAAGGCAAAGGGGCTTGGGCATAGGATGCATCCAATGCACAATCAACTGATCAAGGGGGGTTAGGGTTTTGTTTAGCAATGGAGGGTTTTGATAGTTGAGAAGATAAATAATAAGTTAAAAGTGCTTTGGGGTGTATTTAGATTTTTTTTTTTTTTTTTTTTTTTTTTTGAAAAACCCAATAAGGTCAAAATTGTCATTGCATAATGGGGTAAATAAGTTATTGAATATTAAATTTTAATATGGAATGCATTCAACACTTTGTAGGATGCTAATATAAAAAGCCATAAAAAAATTGCCTATTTAAAAATTATTGTAAATGGCAATAGAAAACATAGAAAAGCAAAAAGCAGGTTTATTATGCTTTTAAAAAAGTTTTTTTTCTTCAAAGCATAGTGAATAGTGCCCATTTAATAAAAATTTCAAATGATAAGTATACCCCTGCATATTTTACAAAATGACAATCTTTGCTTTCTTCATTATTCTCTTTGGCAATTATCATATCACATTAAATACTACACTATTTTTAGTTATTTAACATATTCATATAAACCATTTAGTATTAGGTTTTAGTAGTATTTCTCTTCACTTGTAAGCGAGATGTCTTAGTTTCGATTCTCGTCAAAAGTGAATTTGAACCACATTATTATGGCTAGCCTAGTTTGAGGATTAGCACACTCCCTTACCCCCTTTTGTTAAAAAAAAAAAAAAAAAAACACATATTCACATCAATTTTATATAATTTGGCTTAAATGTTAGAATGGTCTTTGTGTTTTAGTCATTGGGTCTATTTAGTTCCTGTGTTTTCAATTTAGTCAATTTGGTCCTTGTGTTTATTTCCGTTAGTCAATTAAGAACATTTCGATCTAATTTCTGTAAAAAAAAAATGGTTATAAATTACTATAAACTTATTTATTTGATTTGAAATATTTAAATATGAAATAAAATAAAATAAAAATTTTAAAAAAATATTCTTCTCCCAACTCCCCGACCGCCTCCCTAACATTACCCCTTGTCCTTTCTATGTCACTACCTTAATCATTTTTTAGATTGGAAGTTTTATATCGTATATGTGTTATTTCTCATTGATTTGCATTTTTCTATAAAGAAAAAGGGTAATTATATCTGTTATAATTTTCTTATGAATTTTTTAACAGATATCAAATGAACTGTCCTTAATTGGCTAACAGAGACAAATACGATGACCAAATTAACCAAATTGAAAACACAGAGACTAAATTGGCCATATGACTACAACACAGGAACTGTTTTGGCTTTAGGCCTAAAAGTTTACCGAAAACTCAAATACTATTTTTTTATTATTAAAAGCACTTTTACAAAATAAGGAGAAAAAAAAAAAAAAAAAAAACAGGTTTACGTACCCTTAACAACACTTTTACAAGAAAATATTTGCCGAACACTCAACAAATTTATTTTACACTTCTTTTATTTTCACAGTATAGCCAAAAACAGTTTTTCTTAAAGAACAGCTATACCAAACTAACCCTCACGTCTCAATTCCCAGTCCTACATATTTTCAAGGGTTGGTTTCTGCCATCCAGCAACTCAATTTATATAGTTCCACTTCGATGCGAGGCAATAGACGACGATGTAATTCATCCTCGTCCTCCCGTCCTCGCACTTGAGAACCACAAGTGTTCCTTCAGAAATGGCTACGAAAATACTTTTTCATCATCATCAATAACAAAACACAGAGCGAAACATATGCGTGCACACGCAAGCTAATGATAATTATTCTGAAACATGTTTCCTAACACAGGAAGGGCATACAACCAAACCTTCCACAGTAAGTTAAAGCCCTCTCTTATACGGGCAATCAATTCTTCTTCTGTTTATATACAAAACTGGCCTTTTTTTTTTTTTGTGTTTTTTTCTTTTGGGGGAGGGGGGAGCTTCTAGAATTAGTAGATATAGTTGTCGTCATCATTCAAAACTCCAAAGCCGCTTCTCCATGTTCAAGTAGTCACCAGGTGAGGACCAGATCGAGGGAGCACGCACGAGTATGTGACATATTTCACGCTGTCTAAAAGCATGACAACGAAAATTCGAGAAAGTGACTTCGGCTTGATCATGCCATCCACGTCAATATCACCAGCCTCTCTAGGATCAACAAGAACAGAGACAACCATGGGAGAAACCGATCTATTACCGGGCAGGGCGCTGTTCCGTTGATTTCCCTTCACATTTTCTTCGGTGACGTTATGACCAGATCCAGCAAGGGGAATTGGGAGACCACGGAGGATCCTTCTGTTCCTCCCCCTGTTCAGCTCTGTAGTATTCTGACGGTCTTCAGAAACATTCGAAACTGAAGATGCAGGTATTATACCTCCTGAAGAGGTAGTAGCTGAGACATCGAACTGAAATACTTCAGTGCACATTCCAGAACTCAGCATTGGTCCTGCAGAATATTCAAGAAATCAATAATGTAGTTTGTATCAAAGTGTTTGATGTGAGCACCGACAAAGGAAGTACAATGAACAGAAGGAATTAAAGCAAACATATTAGGATACTAGAAAAAGCAACATAGTACAATGAACAGAAAGAATAGTAGGATTCTATCTGTGGTATCTCAATTTGGGGTTGTAGGTAGTTTTGTGTCCAAAATTCTAATATATATATATATATATATATAGAATTTACCAGAGGATGACTAGGGAAGCTAATCACCCCTATATGTAAGATACCCATCTGAAAGTGTAAGTAGGTATGTGTCTGAAGCACTACTATTACTATCGACAATAAGCTTACTTTAGATTTGATGTCCACAATTTCTAAGACTTACAAGAGATGCAAGGATGAATAAACTGTCAGACATACTTTCAAGCATAGTTAAAGCTCAAATCTAAGTATATAAAATCGACCTTCAACCCATACAAGTACACTAACAATATGCTCAACACCCTAACTACTTGACAAGTAGCTGTAATTGGAAAATGGATCCAGATCTCATCACACATGTACCAACAAAACACACTGGTCCAGGCTCATAACGACTTTTTCAAAACAGTCAGGTGCAAGATTAATCATGTCACTGATCAAAGAAACTGGCTCATAGCCTCACACAATTTTTTTTATACCTACTGCAAACAAAAGTCAATTTTCCTAATTTCTCCTAATTCAAAGCTCATGACTTATCTATTCAAAAGAAAACTCAAAACAAGAGCTTCATCTCACAATTCATCTACCCAAGTGATATTTCCTTACTAGCATGATTAAACTAAACTTATATTTACCACGAACTACCAATAGGTCCCCTCAAACTTAGCTGCACAACTATTACCAACACTGATGAAAATAATTTCGACTTCACTTGTTGATATAATGAAAATGCATGGCAAATAGTCAAAAAACAAACCAACCATAAACGTGTTAGGCATCCACTATGTGCACATATACAGAACCAAACACAAAAAAAGAAACCAGGTGCAATGTTATTACCCGCAAGACCTTCACGGAACCACTGTTGCAGTTTACCATCAGCTGAAGTTGACTTCATACGATCCTTTGGAACATCAGTTGAACCACTTGTGAGACCCTTGTGTGGTCCAGCAGAATTTCTGTATAAGGGAGCATGAATCCCTCTGTTCCCTCCCGGTTTAGGAATTGCTAATGCTGAAACCAAATCTTTAGCCACAGCCAAACCAGTCTCTCTACTATTTTGCCTTTCAAAAGGCTCATGGGAAGCCATGGCTTTCTCACTGGCCAGGACCGAATGTATAATCAAGTTTCCGTCAATCTTGACAAGCTTATCATTTCTTGGAACATACAAAGAAGCCACAAGTGGCTCACTACTAGTATTGTGCAGACGAGCAAATTCATCAGAACCTGGAACTGGTCGTGACCCTTGTTCTTTCGGCATATTTCTTGTATGATGACCCCTCTCATGAAGAATTTTGTTAGAGACATCGAATTTCCCACCAGATATGCCCAACGATATAATTTCTTCAGATCCGTTCAAATGACTGTGAACATTCAAAAGCCTCCCCCTGTTTTGACCATGGAACCTATCACGAACATAAGAAGACCCACCAAAACCTCTATCCATTACACCACTAAAGTTAACATTCACCATAGGAACAAGCCCACCAAAAAGCAAGATAAAAAACAACAGACCCAGAAAACTAATACTAGCAACCTTCTTAGTTCTACCCTCACTCTTCTTACTTTCCGACTTTTTGGACTTGGGCGCAGCCGCTGGCTGCTGGGATTTCAATCTAGGAATTGGTAACAAAAGGGACTGGGACCCTTGTGGCTTCGTCACATAGGGCGAATATGGCATCCATGGATAAGCCATCGGTGGCATGGGAGGAAGCGGGTGCATCCCTAAATGTGGTGGCGGTGGCGGGCACATGGTGCCACCGCTGCTCAAGTGCTGCTTCAAAGTAGCATTCTCGGCCGTAACATAAGAAATCCTATTATTCAAATCAGTAATAGTGGAATGCATAGCCCTCACCTTGTCCTCCAGCTCCTCCACATAATGCTTCTTCCTCTGCCTAGAAAGCTGAGCACTTTCTCTGTTCCTCATCAATCTCGCCTTCCTCTTCTCCTCCTCATCGTTCGCATTTGCACCCACATTCACAGAAGCAGAATTGTTGTTATTGTCTGACCTCCGATACTTGGCACTTCTTGGCTCCACGTTGCCGTCGTTGCTATCTTTCTTCCTCTTCACAAGGTAATTTTTCGCCATTTCATCCTCCACCTTAACCTTCTCATCATCTGAACTGCAAATCGCATTGGAAGAAACAGTAACAGAATTACCCGAATTGCCCGAATGCGAGTCCACCGCCTCGGAAATCCCAGAGCCCTGAGACGACGCAGGCCCACCAGAATTCTCCGAACACTCATTCGATGACGCAGGACAATTCAGAAACCTGGAGACGTCCAGACCCCCCTTATCATCGCCAGAAACCGAAATCGCGGAGCTACCTGATTCCGGAGACCCCGAATTAGACTCGGCCGCACCGGCATCTAATCCCTCGGTAAGGAGGAAGTCCTCGGTCATCGACGGCAGGTAGAGTTTGTCCAAGTCGTCGAAAGTGAGCTCGAAGTCGCAATTGTCATCGGGACCAAACCCGAAGCCAAGATCGGACATGAATTCATCCGAGGGGACGGCGGCGGAGGCCAAGCCGTTGTCCGATGAGAAGAATTCAGGGTCGAGAGGAGGGATCGGGAGGGACTCCATCTCGGAATTGAATTTGAAATCGGTGTGATCCGGATGGTTAGCCGAATCGGGGCCGGAGTGCGGCTCCGCCGGAAGCGCCACTTTAGGGTTTCAGAGAGGTTTGTCTGAGAATTTAGAGAGAGATGGAGAGAGGGTTAAGGAGTACGTTGAAGAGGCGGAGAGGAGTCATGTTAGAATAAAAACCCAACGGTTTCTAAGTTGTTATTATTTAATGAGAATTTGTCAGATTTGGTTACCAAATTAAAAAAGAAAAAGAAAAAAAAAGAAGAGATTTTAATCCAAAAGGAGAATGCCACGTGTATGGGATGTTGTGTCTGGAAACTTCCCTCTTGCTTTCTCTTCGTTCACGCGGGAGGGTTGGTTTGCCTTTTGACTCAAGCTATTAGATGATAGATCCATACGTCTGTATGTACATGGGGGAGTAGTATAGATATAATTTTTTTAATGATGTTGGAGTGTAAGAAGGTTCGAATTTCAATTATTAGGTTTTAGTTTTATGTTTTGATTAACGAAGTAGCTGTTAAAAATTTGAAGTATTTGATATTTTTTAGCGTCTTAATAAGTTCGGAATTAGAAAATTGCTACACTTTCTTAGCTAAAGAGTGTTAATTTACTACAAGTGGTGTTATGTCCGTTCACTTATTTTATTTTTGAATTAATTACAATACTAGTTTATAAGGTTTCTCGATTTTTTATAAAATCATTTCATATTTGAGACATTACACTAGTAATCGAGACTGTTGAGTAGGCATATCTCCACACTATCGATGGAAAGTGAAGATAATTTTATTAATATTAAACGATAACATTATGATTTTTATCATAATTATCTTTTAATGATGATTTATCTTGACATTTTCTTAAGGAAATAATATATCTCCAAGCTGGAAACAGGCAGCACAATTCAATTTGATGTGGATATTTGGCATGTGGACGTGTGGTTTGGATCAATTTTGATTTACAAATATGAACGGCATTAGATAATGAAGCATGCAGGATGGGATATTATCCATTTAAAATATGGTGATAATAAAAAATGAATTTGAAGTTCAGGATCCAAATCCTTAGGATGCATGCGGCAGTTTTGGTAAAAGATGATGAGAGCCTAGGAAAGCTAGGTTTTTGGTGATGATGTGGTGATGTGATAAGCCTAGGATTTGATGGTGATGGAGTTATGATAAGAAGTCTAGGTAGGCTAGGTCTTTGGTCATTATGGGATAAAACCTAGATAGGTTTTTATTTGAAAAGTCAGCCACACATTTCATATTTCATTCTGCAAGTTAGAATTGTAGTCGGACTCCACAATTATCTAGCCGTGTCTAGCAAATATCAACCTTATAAATACAAGGCGTTGTGCAACGTAAAGCCCTTTCAATTCAACACACAACTGCCTTGCGCAAACCTCTCAAACATCTTGAGATTTTTTTTTTCTTTTTCCGCCAACATATCTTCAGTTTGGATAAACAACATTGTGACGTCAACCGGTGACATCTTCAGTTTGGATAAACAACATTGTTGCCGTAGAATCAGCCGTTCCTGGAGCACCTTCAGTTTGGATAAACAGCACTGCGTCGAGCCCGACTAGTTACCTATCCAAGTCTCGGTCGAGAAGGGTTTTCAAATCCTTATTGGCAGAGGTCATCTTAATAGCCTTCTCGGCGAAGTAAGGTGTTACAAGCTACTCCATTCGGCACATTGAACTCCAAGTGGTTTTGTGATTAGATATTCACAAGTGAGTTTCAGAGTTTGGCATTCTGATGGCCGAATCACATTTACCATCAAGACATACATCTCATTTGAGTACTTGTGTCCATATAGTCTGATGTCGATTCGACGTGCTTATACTCTTACGAATATTATCACTGTGACCGAATCCGGTGCCGACGATTCGTGAACTTCGCAAAACTAGCAGCCTTGTCTTCAGGCTTGAGAACCTGAAAGCCGAGACTTATTCCTTCCTCGGTCACGGTCGCAGTCGCAAGATCAAGAAGTCAGCAACGCGCTCAACGCAATATCAACAAATTGTACTTCTCGACCAAGCTCAGTTGACGAATTGGCACGGCCTGCATTAACCAAAGGACATAGTTAGCTCATTAGTTACTCGGCCTATGCGCCAAGTAGGCTTTGGAATTTTTAGGGTCAACACCCTCATAACTAATTAATTAAACAATAAATAATTAAATTAGAAAAAGAAAATATTAATAATAAATAAATTAAACATTGAAAACATAAATTAAAAACTTCTAAACAAGGGATGCTGCGTGCTATTGTAAGTAGGGTTGTCCTGTTCATTTGTTGTCGCTCTCACATTCCAATCGAGCAAGCCTTTTGCCTTAGAACACAGCCATGTCTTCCAAGCAAGGTGGAAAAGCAAAGACCTGAAGGCACCCAAGGCCGAGGAAGGAGGAGTACGACGAGTCCGATTTGGCTAACCTTCAGAAGAAAAGAGATGAGGAAAAGGCATTGAAGGAGCTTAGAACCAAGGCAGAACTTAAGGGTCCTTTGGTGGCTCTGGGCTCAAGAAAGTGGGAATAAATGAGTGAGTTTATCGAACCCCAAGTTGTCAATTTATTAGCAAAATTTTGAGTGAAGGGGTTTTGTGAAAGTAAATTAAAACGTCAAAACATATTAGTATAATGTCTCAAACGTGGGAGGGTTTCGTAAAAACTCGATAAACCTCATGAAGTGTTAGTGTAATTAACTCTTTTATTTTCTTTGTCATTTTCTGTAAATATTCATATAAATGCTTATTATAAATGTTTATGGAATGGTGAGATAATATATGATGTGCATGAGCTTAAGCCCTCTACAAAAGTCTGAAAATTGAGTTTGATTCATATAAAACTCCTATAATAGATTATAAAATTTGAGTTTTGTAAAAGTGAGTTTGATTCCAAATCTAAATCAATTTGATTTTAATTTTATAGGAATCATACTCATACGTTAATATGTCACTCTGTTGATTTGTTATTCTTCCACTTGTGCTTCAAATCTGATACTCGTAAATAATAAGAGCTTACTATCTAATTGTGCCGGACAATTGTGTGGGGTAGCTAATTTTTTGTTTGTTTGTTGTTGCATAAGAAAAATCCCATTAGTCACTTAGTATTACGGTCTAGTGGTATTTCTTTTTACTTGTAAGTGAGAGGTTTTAGGTTCGATTATCGCCAAAGGCGAATTTGAACTACATTATTGCTAGCCCATTGTGAGACATAACCCACTCTCCCATCCCTTAGACCATCCCTAATGGTTGGGCTAAAAGTCAAATATTTTAGCCTGGAAAATTTAGTTTTTAGCCCAGAAACAGTTTTTCTGCTCCAACCGTTTTGGCCTAAAATTTTGGCCCGGAATTATTAAAGAATGAACTTAGGCTATTTTTTTTCTTAAATTAAATTTAAAAAAAAATAAATATGTAGACTATCGTAAATTAAAACATTTTAATCTAAAAAATTTAAATTCTAATAAATATTGAAAAATCACTAAATTTTCCGCAAAGCAAGCCTTTAACTTTTATCAATCTTTTAACCCTGGACTAACTTTCAATTCACCAACCGTTCAACAATTTGGAAATGGAAAGAAATGGTAGAAAGATAAATTGGAAGAGTATTTATAGAGTTTTTGGGTGAATTTTGAGTTAAATAATATTTTTTAATTATTTTAGCCGTTGGATTTAAATTTGGGCCGTTAGTTCTTTTTTTTTTAACCGTTAGATTTGATTATAGTTAGATCGTCGTTGGATTCAATGTATTTTAAAATAACATATTCTAAAAAAATTAAATTTGAATCTAGACCATTGGATCAACCAACGGTCCTTAAAGCCTAGCCATAGGATCAAAATTATAGCTGTTGGGTTTTTGTGAGTGGCCGACACAAGCCTGACGGCGGGGCCCACCCCTGTCGGGAAACCTTTGCAAGCGCACCGCGTGGGGCGCGTTGGAGTGTGGGAGGGCCGAGACTGGCCCAACAACCCGCGAGTCCACTCGCATGGTGGGGGGGATTTTGGGGGGTGGTATTCGGCTCAGCTTTGGCATTTGGCATTTAGCCCAAAGTTTTAGCATGGGTTGGAGAGTGTTTTGGGGGGGGGGTGAATTTGGGGAAAATGTTAGTATTTAGCCCACCATTAGAGATGATCTTAGTATAAATAAGATTGTTTGTTCAAAATAAATAAATAAATAAATAAGAAAAATCTCATTTAATTTTGTTCCTTTGATTAAAAGAGAAACGACACTTGGATTTATAAGTTAAATTCATATTAAACACCAAGTTGGATATAGGCTTTAAAGAAAAATATCAAATTCAACCAATATTTGATGATAGAACTTTATTGCAAAGCGGCCTATTACTAAATCAAAGTAAAGTATATTATCATTTTGTCCTCAATCTTATTTCTTTTTCGGATTTTAGGAAGTTCGTTAGAGCTCGGGCTTGACTTTAAGTGGGTAGGATTTAGGTCTGTTAGAAGGTCCGTGAGAAGGTCAGTTACGGTAAGAGGTTGATCATTTTGGTTGAGAGTTTTAGAATATTTCTTAACACAGGGGCTGATCATTTTAAGTTTAAAATTTAAGAATGTCCTTAAGAGCTTAGGTATGAGAACCCGTATTTTTAAATTACGCTTACATGTTTAGACATATCAACATGATGCAACAACACCTTAATTCGAGTATGGAGGTTAGCTAAGCCGCACAATTTCCTTTTCCCGCTTTTATTTATCTATTTTAGGCTTACGTTTTCTGTTCATACAAAGGGAAAGAGCCATCTTGTCTTCTCTCTTGGGTTTGTCTGCACACTATTGCCTTGCTAAACATCAGGATTTCATCGCGGATTTCGCCTTATGAAAGCATATAAACTTATTTTCTTTTTCAGTATAAATGGAATGCAAGAACGTAGGTGACTTGGAGAACAATTTAGAAACAATAAAATAACAGAAATACAGAACCAAAATACTTATATTTTATTATTCACAAATACTTGCAATACAAAATGCAATAACACAATAATTACAAAAAATTAATATGATACTAACTTGAATGAGTTCAAGGTAGAGGCTAGCAAAAACGCTATGTCCTTCGAACAGTATTTCCGTC